AATATAGGGCCTCCAAAAATTATTTCAACCTGAAAATATTATGACCCCTCCCTTTACTCATATTTATAGTGGTATGAAAATCATCCCATCCTTTGTGCAAGGTGCGTAGAAACCCAGGCTTTTTCTGTGGTTTCCCTGGAAATTTTCACGACCTGTTTCCCAAGTGTAAAGGATGTTAATTTAACCCGATCACACTCATTTTTCGGCTATGAAGTCAGCTGTTATTATTGATCCCGTTAATTTTTTAAGTGACATTCTTACCATGAGTGGACCAAGGGCAAAGGTCAATTATGAGTATCTTACAGTTCAAATTCAAGAGTTGGCTAAACAGAAATTTAAAGATTGAGGTGCCATAGAAGAAGTACAGGCTGGAAATGGAAGAACAGAATTTTTTTCATAGACAAAAAGCGACTTGGTGACGGGATAATGTGATAAACCAGCAGGTTATCACGTGCCATAAAAAAGATTAAACACAGAATTTGTCAGAAAACATCAAGTTCGCTACGTATTTGTGCAAGGGAACCGAATGAATCAAAACGCTTCAAAAACGAAGTCAAAGCAAATTGACTTCACTACAGTGCACAAGTTTGTAAGATCTACAAATTGGGGTCACACAACTTATAAACTAACCAAGGAACCACTAATATCCCAAAAAACAATGACGGTCGTTAGAAATTTGGAGGAATACTTCAAAAAAGTGGTCATTTTGATGAAAAACACAGTGTAAAAAACTGTGGCGTCATATCTTCTGGACTGGTGAATTCCAAATTCAGCTATATCCAGAATTGAACCGATAAAATTGTAGGCATAAAACCGAAAAAAATCGAATGTACCACAGAAGCGTGTCACAAAATTTGCATTGCAAGATATGGTAGCCACTGGTTTGTGCGTGGCGTGACAACCATTTATAGTATACCAGAAGCACAGGATGTCAATCCGAAAAATTTTATGTAGGAAATACCACCCATATACTTCGATGGCATAAACGACAAGGAATTATTTCCAAATAAGAGAAAATTAACTTTCATGCTGGGTGGTGCTTCAGCTTGCACCGAAAACTTACTGTGAGGCAAATCGAAGGCCAAGTTTCAACAGTGTCGACTAAGGAGGTGTGGCGCGACAGATTTCCGGACGTTTTGGAGAACCCATGGTCCATGCTTAAGGAAAACGTGTGCAAAGATCCAAAACCTCGGATAAGGGAGGGGCTAATTACAAAAGTTCAAGAGAAGTGGAATTTCATACCAAAATCAACTTTGGAAAAATTAGCTCTGGGTCTCAAACAAAGAGTTGAGGGCATGATTAAAGTGCAGGGGGGAAAGACCACATACGTTTATTCAAGGTATTTCTATAAAAAAATTGACTTTGGTTATACTTATATTTTTTTTAAACAATAATTTTCTTCTTGCAGTGAAAAATGTGATCGAATTAAAGGAACACCCCGTATGTATTGATATGTTACACTTAAATTGACCATTTTCATTTGTGTGTGCACACGCTTAGGAAGCTACACTCCGACCAGTAAAACAAGGACACCTAACAATTTTTCAAATTTGTCAAAGGCCGTTCGAATTATTTAGCTGTTTCTTTCGCCATTACGTACTACAGTACCTAGTATTCCTGTAGCAAGTTTTCTTTAAAATTGGTGTAAGGGTTGAGAAATTATTTGATAATATGTCAAAATCAGGTGGCCAGTAAAACAAGGACACCCAATAGTAAATTAAGTGTTTTCGGTGGACTAAATCATAATCTGATTCATTTCGGTAAGAAATTTGAATTTCATAATATTTGTGATATTTTGGTCAATTTATGACATAAATTATCCCTTTTCTTCGGTAGATTTCCCATAGTGAGGGGTAAATTCCCGACATTGTTGTAGAGGGGCAGGATAGAAGCTCAACTTGCGTTACAATGGAGAATTTCGAAAATGTACAGCAACCTATGTGTCAGCCGATACTCTTTAACAGCGTTAAAGGTCTAGGGGAGCAATTCCGGTGGAACACAGAAGCCAGGACCCGAGCCGCAAACGGCACAAATGCCCAAATTCATCATTCGCCCTCGCTCTAGCAACTCCTGTGTAACTTTAACCTAGACCTAAGGGGACTCCAAGGTCCATTTTGCAACGTTTGAAATTAATAAAGTCATTTCTGCTTGATGCGCCCTCGGCAAGAGGAAAATAAAGATGAAACCTGTGCCACCCCATAAGCACCAAGATGCTCGATTCCAATGGGAGGAAGATCGAATGACGTAGGCTTCTAAGACGGAGAACGCCGTATTTGACGACGAAAAACAATTTATCTATGATGGTCTTGCTAGTTTTAACTATTATTGGCATGACCACAGAAGGAAAAACCTTAGTTTTGTAATACACAGAACGGCGGGGGTGAAGTCATGATTTGGATGTTCATCGGTTGGGGAATGAGGTCTGCAATCGTGTTTATTCCGACTAATTTAGCTAACACGGTAATCAAAACATCTCAGGAGAACATTTACTTCCACTGAAACAAAAACTCGGAAGAAAAAATGTCTGTTTCAACAAGACAACACCCGATGTTATGTAACTCGGCAATCAAAAAAATGGTTTTAAGAAAACGATATCTACATTCTGGCTTAGCCACTGAGGGGTTTGGATCCGAATCCGATTAGAACTATTCAGGCATTCATATCGTGTTAAGTTTATGCAAATTGACATCTGTGTTTAACCGTTTTCGAACTAATACAAAGAGTCATTGATGCATGTGATTCAATGGCAGTCAGTGTCATTAATCAGCAGGTTGGGTAGATGAAAAAATAAATTTTGTCTGCCATGACTACAAGGGATAGCTATTCCTAGTATTCATGTGAAGGATTATTAAGAAAGTTCAATATAGATGGCCCCAAAGGCAATAATTCCAAAAGTGTCCTTGTTTTACTGGCCACCTGATTTTAACATAATAGCAGATAATTTCTCCGTCCCTGCATCAATTTCAAAGAAAATTTGCGACAAGACTTCTAGGCACAGTAGTACTTAACGACGAAAGAAACAGCTATATTTTATGAACGGCCTTTGAGAAATTGGTAAAAATGGTGGGTGTCCTTGTTTTACTGGTCGGAGTGTAGTGTTAAATCATTGCTGGCCAAAGTACTTATATTTGCATACACGAGCATTACAAATGGATATTTTACAACCCTGAAACAAAATACTACAAGTCCGGTAGGAAATTACTACAAAATCAGTGCTAGCAGTATTTATAAATTATGTATTTGCAAATATGATTTGACTATCTGCAAATCCAGGAGGACAGGTCGGCCAACTGATGTTTTGAAATCCGCATTTCCGCGTTCGGCGGATGATAAAATATTTCATTTTGGAATGACTTGCATAAATTCGCATAATCTTTTTGAGCCTTACCTATGACGTGAGGCGGCTTTGTTAATCAGGTTCTGTTGTTGTTCGTTATACTTGTAAGATTCATCTCCTCGACGGGTAGAGTGCCCGTCCTATTACGTTCGTTTTCGACCTCGCGAATGACTCATTTTCTCGACGGGTAGAGTGCTCGATCTTATTGAGTTGGCGGCTTAATTGAGGTCAACTCGACTCGGGTTGACTCAACTCAACTCAATAAGTCGAGTCGAGCTGAGTTGAAGTGGCAACTCTACTTCATGTCGCATGTTCGCATCCATCCTTCGTAATTTCTTCGCGACAGCGTCTTTTTCCGCTTCTGCTCGACGGAACTCTTTTTGTTTCATTTTCTCCACATTTGTTCTTTCATACTTTGTTTTTTGAGAGCCATGATTTATTGGCTAACTAAGGCTAACACCAAGTCAATAAATTACGTACCTCTATATAAGCGATTTGCTCTGCTTGACTTAATATGTTCCGCTCCGAGTCGAAAATTCCGTAATTTTCCAAAAACCCACCTCAATTTCCTGGATGGGCTTCTGTGCCGCTAAGAAACAATACAGCGTAGTGGGTATGGAACGATGCGCACTGAACGCGGTGCCCAAAACCTCGATCTCTTCCCTATGCGTCGGTTCACCCAAGGCCAGGGAGGATTTCACAATCTCCAATTTGCTGACGTAACTTGTTTCCGGATCCTTATCCAGTTTCGAATTAGTCATGTGCGCCTTGCCTGTGTCCTGCCGAAAAACGAAATTCGTGTTGTTTGGGACATAAATTCATGGGTTCGATTTGTGGTACAAGTGTGGAGACACGATTGCAGAGGGCGAAAACCGGGAAAATAACTAATCAATTGCATAACACTCGCTCCTCGTCTTGATAAGTCACTCAATGAAACAATAGCTACTCTTCCTCTATATGAATTCCTCCCAATCTGGATAGCTACTTCTCCGAGTTGAAAATTGCGTAATATTCAAAAATATTGAGCGATAAGTCCTGATAATCCAGAAATAATAAATTCACACTCAGGCGAAATTAAAATCCAAGATTTATTTTTTTCCTGTTTCTGTTTGTTTAGTCCACCGCGTATGTAAGCATAGTTACAAAACTAAAATTGACGCAATTTATATTCACGTTACCGTAACCTTATATAAATTAGGTAACCTTTGACTGAACATGTTAAAATCATGTACCAATGTGTAGTACATAGCGAGCTATGTCTAACGTTACAACGGTTTATTTATTTATTTTTTATTAGCTCACCCTGCGAAGCACGGGAGCTATTGAATTCCTTTTATCCGTCCGTCCGTCTGTCCGTCCGTCCGTCTGTCCGTCCGTCCGTCTGTCTGTTTACGACTGTTTGAATCAATTGATGCTAATTTACACAGATCAATGTCATTCTTGGCCGACTTATTAGCACCACTGGTATCCAACAGACGGTGACGGAATATGATGCGAAAGAAATCGGGGAATCGAGGCAAAGCGCACTAAAAGTGCAGAAGAACCGAAAGAAATAACTAAAAAATTTACCTTCAATTTTCCAAAATTTCATGCCAAAATTATGTATTTCTTTTGTCTGACTTCTGCACCATTAATGCAAAATTAGGATTACAGTGTGAGCTACTTCTAACGTTACAACGGTTTATTTATTACTTCTTTAATTTGCTAGCTTTATTTACATGACAAGTTAAAATTTATATCTAAATGAAAATTACTAAATACCAGAAAATTCGAAGGAATAGAGGAAATTGTAAAATTTTGAAGGATTCGCTTATCGGAAAATCACCTTATATATGTATATCTTCCCCCTGTCTATTTTGGACGGATTGTCTCTTTACAAATAATTATTGTCAATAATGCCCCGTATTTACATTGCTTAATTATAAATGTTGACTTGCAGTTTGTAAAATTGCACTACACATCACCCCATTTTCTGCTTTTTCGCTGGGCTGCCCTCAACCTTAAGATCATTCATGATAATTATTAATATATTAATGATTTACTTACAAAAATATTCAAAAAAAACATACCGGAGTTTCGTCATCATGATGGCCAACTTTCCACTCTGTCACTTCATAATCGCTGCATACTTCATCCCAGATCTTTACGATTTCTTCGAACTGCGACGGCATGAACATCTGGCGTCTGGGCTTTACACAGTGTGATTTTTGGGAAAAAAGCGAATAAATTATTTTAAGGTCTATAATGGACCCATGTGGGTGGGGGAGCATAATAAGTATAGGTTATTGTGGTTTTTGAAAAGGGGTGTTGTGTGTGGGGGGGTTTTTATGAAATTTCAAAAAAATCTCAAATTGCCCCCAAAACCACACCCACTTTGAAGAGAATTTAATGCTGATTAAAAAAAGCTATTATACATGCCCCCTAACTCCTATCGTTCTCGCGGGAAAAAATAAAACGTGGCAAAGAAACAGAATTTTTGCCAAAAACGGATGATTTGACAATTTAAAATGGCTGGCAAATTGTTAAATCGAAAAGGGCGCAGGCAACGACCTATAGGTCATAAACTACCCTTATAGGTGTGTCTAATGACGCAACATTCGGCCAATTCCCAGGCAACGACCTATGCGCCATAAACTAGGGTCATGGGTGTATGTAATGACCCAACATTTGGCCAAATCCCAGACACACTTTTTGGGAAAACATAACACGAAGTTGGGCAAAATCCAGGTGACGAAAATCAAAAAATTTCAAGTGTCAACATGAAATGACGGGAAAATTTTTTATTGCATTTTTACACGTTTCAGACAATTCTAAGACATTTTCTCACTTTACGCCAAATTTGGGGTAATGTGAGATTTTTCGCATGCACGAATTTTGACATATTTGAATCGTTTGATTGTCTGTGTACTTCCAATTCAATTATTTTTTTGATGTAGCTTTCAAAGTATTTAATTCCGTCCATCGTTTCCTTATAACTACGTCCAATTTTATCAAGCGATTCTTTAATTGGTATACAAATATCGGCACAACTTGCAAGGGTGCACTCAGTTATCCGTGAGACATCCATGATTGTAAATGGGCTGGTAAAATGAAGATAAAATTATAATAAATCTTTTCAGAAATTTGCAGAAATTTATTGGAGAAGGCTTACTATTTGTGACGGATGGGTTTACAAATTCCGAATCTTACGTATGTACTGGACGGCTGCATGGGACGCGTTTAGTTGCTAAATATATACATATGTATGAATCGTATTTGTTCGATTCTCTTATAAAGCAGCGTCAGAGTCAGATAGATAATTATGCATCCTTTATTTGCATATGATACATATGTAGGTACTAAACTATTTAATATTGCAATATTTATCTTTGTGGAGCACGGACGAAAGATAAATATTCCCACGGACCGTGCGAATCGATGGAAAACATTCGATTGATTTAACCATTGTTAAAAAGTTATCAACTTTAATATTTGCATATTTACATTGTCAGACAATTTAATCAATTTGGGTCGGACTGGAAGTTGCTGTGCATTTTATTTTTCCACCGCAAACCCGGCGTCGATAACCACACCCATGTAAGGTGTGGTTTTTATATATTCCGTCAGGATGATCTTATCGAGCTAAGAAAAATTACATCTCACATGTCATGGCACACCTCTCTAAGACGTGAATGAAGAGGTAATATTAAGTAAATTATTCAATTCAAGGTTTACACTACACACTTAGAAACCGGGTAGTAAAATAAATGAGGGGTATTGATATGAGACTCTACCGCGTTGGTGTTAAACGATTGTACTACCCTGGTATTATAGATTCGGTTTTAAAATAATACATTGTAGTAATAATGTTATTATTTATGGGTCAAATTTATGATGGTGGGCGCCATAACAGGTCGTGGGGTCCTCGACTTAATCAAAGTCCCCCCAAACACAAAGATAAATTCTGCCAGATATATAAGCGATGAAGACCTTCAGTGCTACACAATTAAGTCGGTCCGACGGAAAAACTAGATGCCGTTTTGTGGACATTAAATCCTAAAAATCAGTATTTTGTGATATATGCATGAACTTTTGCTGTATTTCGCCTTTATTTAGTCGGTGCATGACAATTAGCATAATGGTTGCCAGTATTTTGTACAACAGTGTCCTAGCTAATTAGTGAAGTTGGTCCGAAGTCTCACAAATGAATAATAATAAGTAACAAATCGCGTAACTTGAGCAAAATCTACTAATCTGACTCCACACAATTATTGTTGCATTTTAAAAGAAGAAACTATAATTTTTGAAAACTTGTCAACCATCATTCCTCCTCACTGACCTCGTTCGGGTTCAGGTGACCATAAAATTGCGATCAAATTCTAACCTTGCAGGTAAGGCTCCATTAATCGTGAATTTTAGGTCACATCATCCCCTATCGAGGTCACTGATGTTTGACAAGTTTTCAAAAATTAGTTTCTTCTTTTAGAAATTCAGCCATAAGTAACACATTTTAAATTATTTTTCCATAGTGTGTACTCTTCTACAATGCAGGGCCAGGTCACAAAAAGCGAAGAACTTTTTTCCATAGAAATAGCATTCTTTTTTCCTTACTCCTTCCTTACTCCGCCGTGCACCCGGTTGAAGTGCTTCGTCAAGTCGGCCTTGTTTTTACTTTTATACGCGCATCGGTTGGATAAATGACGGAGCTCCTTACTAACCATTTTGGCGGGGTTGGTAGGTTTAATCCCATGATCACGTTCCAAGTGCAACCTTCTCCCACGCTTGCTTAGAAATTCGCGTGGGCAGGATTCACAGAGGAAGAATTTTCTAGACGATATCTCTCGATGGGTTTCCTAGGAGATTTAAAATGAGCGACAAATTAGAATTCCACATTTTTTGATAATATGTACAAACCAGTGTTTCTTCTTGTGCGCAGGAAATTATTTTTCGCATACAAATGCATAAAAATGCATAAAAATGAACGAAAATGCATAAAAATGCATGAAATTCACTTTTTTAGCGAATTTCAGATTTTCAATAAATCTTATATTTTCCTGCCATGTCAATTGGGGGTGAGATTGGGAAAATACAAAGCTGATACTGTAAATACGCCATAAAATAGCAGAACGACTTGTTAACTAGCGAATTATTTAGAAAAATTGCAATATCTGCAATATATTTGCCCTTAAAGATTTTTGTGCATTTTCGTGCCTGTTCATGCAGTTTTACAGATTTTTAGTGGGTGTTATTAAACGTTTAAAAAGATTTCCTTGCACTAATTTCGTCCAGGTGTTATTTAACAGCAGAAATACTGATACAAACTAACCTGATGCCTATGCAACTTTGTCTTCTGGGCGAAACTCTTCTCACACGTGGCACACTTGTGGGGCTTCTCTTTAGTGTGGGTAAGAATATGGACGTCCAATTCTGGCCATGATTTAAATTCTTTTTCGCAAAAGGTGCACGGAAACCGGACCGGATTCTCGGAATGATCCACTTTAAAGTGCTTCACAAGACTACCCTTGGTCAAAAATATTCTGCCGCAGTGGTCTGAAGTGCATGGAAATCGGGGTCGTTCCATCGTGTTGTGAATATTTTTCGTATGGGCTCGTAAATTTTCTACCAAGGAAAATTCTTTCTGGCACAGCTGACATTTGTACAGTTTTCTAGACGATAGTTCCAAGTGGGTTCCCTATCACAAAATTTTAAACGATGGGGTAAATTCCAGGGTTTCCCCGGGTCTCTGGACATCCTATGCCTCGCAATACATACTAGATCCACTTTTGAAATTAGCCTGGGGGTGATTTTTTCTTATGGAAAATCGAAAAATAAGACATTTTTGTTATTTCATAATTTTCGAAAAAATGACCGTGTGACCTGTTAAAAAACAGTGAAATTTGCCATTTAACATGCAGGTATACGTAAAATAGCAAAATTTCAATGTGTTTTAACAGGTCACACGGTCACTTTTTGAAAAAATATGAAAGAACAAACATGTCTTATTTTTCGATTTTCTATAAGAAAAAAATCACAACGGGGCTAATTTCAAAAGTGGCTTTAGCACGTATGTACATATTGCGAAGCATAGGCGGTCCAGAGACACGGGGAAACCCTGTAAATTATTTACAATAGGAAAGAGAGAGAGAGAGCAATCAATTTATCTCAAAATATCCCAAACTTACCTGATGCCTAATTAACTTACTCTTCTTCACAAAACTCTTCCCACAGGGGGCGCACTTGTAAGGCCTCTCTGTCGTGTGGCATTTAAGATGATGATTTAAATCACCTCGATATTTAAAGTTTTTGTCACAAAGGGCACACGGAAATCGGCGAGGATTCTCGGTATACTCCATCTCAAAGTGCTGCGTGACGGCAGTCTTGTACAGAAATGATTTCTCACAGCCAGGAAATGCTCATGACAGGCGTGGTCGAGGCTTCGTGTTGTGAATGGCCTCCATATGTCTTTTGATACTTGTGGAACTGGAGAATTCTTTATGACAAATAGTGCAGCGATATATTTTTTTACGATTTCCGTGCTCCATCCTTAAATGGGTCTTTAGTACGATACGATTTTTATAAGTTTTTCGACAAACCTGTAAAAAGTTATTCAATTTTTAGCATATAGTCTATTTAATTAGTACATTATTCTTTAATTAGAATTCGTTAATTGGAGACTTTTTCTTAAGTGAAGGAAATTAATGTCTAGGCGAAAGCATAAAAAATAAAAAAAAAACATAAATTCGCCTAAGTATGCATTTACCCTTCCCTTAAACAAGCACAACATTTTATTTTTTCAGGGAAGAATTAAAAAACTTTTTTCAATTATTTATAAATTTGGCACACTATTGGGGACACGCAATTCGGGGCCTTCAACCAATTATCCTAGGTTTAAGACACTTTGTTTCCGATTTAAGGGTCAAAAATATGTTCGAAAAACATTTTTTTTTTGGGAAATTCTGTGAAATATAATCCTGACCAGGCTGGGATCTTGAAAATGTTGTTTCTTGAATTTTTTGCTATTCTTTTGCTTTTTGGATAAAACAAAATGGCTGAGAAAAGTCCATCTTAAGGTGCCCACATACATAGTAGGAATGTGCAACAATGCAATGCAGGTGCACAATTTCTTCATTAAAAGCAAGAAAGTAAATATTTTTTTAATTAAAGAAAATTAAATTTTCAGTATAGATCTGAGAAAAGCGAAAAACCGAAAAACTAAATGCCTATCGCGGTGAAGTGGTGGAATACAAAGAAAAGTACAAATTATTTACGGTAAAATTATTTGCATCGTTGTACAGTCTAAATTTCTGACACAATAATCAACCAATTATAAAGTAGCTCATTAGAAGCTTAATTATATACAGAAAATTATCTGAAAATACTGAAAATCAACTAAAAATTTAATTTGTTTGTAAACTACGCCGGTGGTGACGCAAATAATTTTATGGTAATTTTACTTATTTTATTTTATACCTTTCTTTGCACTCCTAAGCATTTCGTTTTTCGGATTTATTTTGGACGCGAAGCTTATGGCGGACAGTCTTCAATTTTCAAAATTCAAAAATAAATATTTTAATAACAACATACTTCACACTTAACTGCGGCGCCTGAATCATGAGTGATTAGATGACGGCTCAAGTCAGATTTCACTTTGAAAGTTTTCGAACAGTGTGGACATTCTTGAATTGGAGTAAGAATTATGGGACTCGACACGGACATCCGCCGACTATTCCAAAAGTGGAAAAAATCGTTTCCATTGTACACTCCACATGAAAAGAAAAAGATTTTGAGTAAAATTTTGGCGGTCAAAATTTTCCCTGGGGGGATATGAGAATTATAAGGTTTGACACGAGGGGCATAGGGCACAGGTTATCTCAGGAACGCGTTGATGAAATTACAAATGTTTTATTTTGTTGCACTCTTTAGTTCAATACCCCGAGGAGATTAACGAATTGACCCGAAATTCCAACTTTCAGGGGGTTTTTTCTATGGCGCAAAAATGATCCAAAAATTGGTTTTTCGAAATGATGCTAAATATATGGCCAAATGAACTTCGGTTCGATTTGGCTGATTTTTTGATATGTTGTAGCCCTGATGGTACTAAACAATGTTTAAGTTACACTCAAACAGATATTCCGAAAGTGCAGAGACAGAAGAATGAGAATCTTAAATTTTCTAGAATTTAACACTGCAATAGATTGGGAGCTCATATGGCAATAAATGCACATCAACTCAAAAAGATTCTTCTGTCTCTGCACTTTCAGGGGGTGGTCCCAGACCCCATAAGGTATACATATTCTGAATCCTCTCGTAAAGACCTTTCCAACGATACCCTATTTATGGGGCTACGTGAGACTTGATCTGTTGACCTTTGACATGTTAAAACAAGGTCATGTAGTTGGAATATCTGTTTGAGTGTAACTTAAACATTGTTTAGTACCATCAGGGCTACAACATATCAAAAAATCAGCCAAATCGAACCGAAGTTCATTTGGCCATATATTTAGCATCATTTCGAAAAACCAATTTTTGGATCATTTTTGCGCCATAGCAAAAACCCCCTGAAAGTTGGAATTTCGGGTCAATTCGTTAATCCCCTCGGGGTATTGATCTAAAGAGTGCAACAAAACAAAACATTTGTAATTTCATCAACGCGTTCCTGAGATAACCTGTGCCCTATGCCCCTCGTGTCAAACCTTATAATTCTCATATCCCCCCAGGGAAAATTTTGACCGCCAAAATTTTACTCAAAATCTTTTTCTTTTCATGTGGAGTGTACAATGGAAACGATTTTTTCCACTTTTGAAATAGTCGGCGGATGTCCGTGTCGAGTCCCATAATTCTTACTCATTGATCCCATTATAACTTTCAAGTCTAGGTTTCCACTAGCAAAATAAACGTTCAAAATCAGACATTTTTAGGTTTAAAATATTTCAGAATATTGGAAATGAATGGAGAGAAGAGAGGAGTACGAAAAGATAATGAACTTTGGTTTACCTTGATATTGAACCTGTAATGCAAACCTAAGATAAGCCAAACAGGTTAAACCTACATATTGCTTTGTACCTTCTATTAGGTTTAAGTGTAATGTAAACAGTCTGGATTTTTTGATGTCAATTCATGCTAATCTGCGAGTTGGATGTTTTATTTTCTGGATGTATTATTTTGCATTTTGGCTGGATAAAAAAAATTGTTTGGTCGCGAATTGTAAGGTTGCGAAATTTATCGTTTTTGGTTGGAAGAAAACAAAATTTCGTAGGGCACTATAAATCTGACCCAGCAAAATATCAGTACACTCTTTAGAAAATTAGTAACCGCGGTATTGGTATGTGACTTTACCGCCGTGGTAGTGATTTGGTAATAAATTAAAAAAATTAATACCATATCATACAAACACTAATACTAACTAGTAATAAAATTTATTACTAATAAATTTAAAAAAAATTAATACCATATGGTACAAAATTTAATACGAACTGGTAATAAAATGATTACCGCATAGTATTATTTCATTACCGAATCTATACCAGGGTAGTACAACCGTTTAATACCCAAGTGGTAGAGTCGCATATCAATACCGCTAATTTTTTAATACCCAGTTTCTAAGAGTGTAATCGATTAGGATTTTTTATCAAAATATCTTTCCAGAGTTATGTTTTGCAGTCTAAATTGCTTACCCGATCAAAGTGGGAGTCTTTGTAACGATTGTTCTTGAAAGGTCGAAAATTTTAAGCATAGCGCTATTTTCCAAATAATTTTTTTATAAATAAGTTACTAACGGAACAAGTACATCAAAGTGTGAATATTGTATAAAGATTTATTTTCAAACCGGCCAACTGGTTTAGGTTTGGTTTGATTTTTTCAGTTGCAGCTGAGAAAATTGTGTGGCAACCTTGTTGGCAATACGTATACATAATCCGAGTGTGTAGTTTAGATAAAAATCTATGTATATTGGGATACAGAATGAGATGCCCTGTAAAACTTCTGGATTCCAGTGCTATCCAACGAATATGCCAAAGACTCGTGGTGGTGGCTGCGTTGCTGGAACCGTTCACACAGTATGTCACGTAAATTAATAAAACTACGTAATAAATGTCAAATTAATTAAACTAATTAATGGTAAACATGGTATAAAAATTTCCGAAAATTTTGAAAAAACTACAGATGCGGGTTGAATTCCTGGCGAAATTTCTTTTACAATGACTCCCCATATGAAAATTTAGTGTTTTTTAAATCCCATGACCATGCTTACCATGCCATTCAAGTCAAATAGTATTAATTATCAACCAATTTGACATTTATTAAGTAGCTTTATTAATTTACGTGACATACTGTGTGAACGGTACCAGAAACGCAGCCACCACGGCGAGTCTCTAGCGTTCATTGGATAGCATTGAGTCTAGACCCACAGGGTTTAACCCTTTAAGCCAAATTTATATAGATACATATAGAGAAATCCCTCAAAGTTTAAGGGTTTGGCCTTTTTCTGTCCCTTAAATATGGGGGATGGAATGGAATATATACGAGGGGAGGCCAATAAGTAATGCGAATCTACCCTTCAAAGATAAGATACAAAGCTCAGATTTCGTCCATTCAATCTACATATATCCTGTACATTGTGTTCCAAAAATCATAAGATTCCGATATCTCATTCTTTCACAATCTCTGAGCAAAGTCAGACATCACAAGCAAAAATGGATTTTCAGAAAACTGAGGTTCGTTCCACCATACGGTTTTTTGCATTACAAGGTGAATCGCAACCGAAATTTTTGAAAAATTACACAAAGTTTACGGTGATAGTACTCCGTCGTATAGTACTGTTTCTCGTTGGGTGACTGAGTTTAAGTGTGGAAGAAAAAATGTTGAAGATGAACCCCGACCTGGCCGACCAATTTCAGCCACTGATGAGTTCACGTGTTCAAAAGTCCAAGAGTTTGTGATGCAGGATAGGCGTGTTACTATCAACCAAATAGCTGAGGAAATGGGGATTTCACGTGGTAGCGTAGGTTTCATTCTACATGAAAAACTTCGGCTTTCTAAGCTATCCTCTCGTTGGGTTCCACGCCTGCTTACACTAGCACAAAAAGAGGAAAGAGTGCGATGCTGTCGGAACCTGTTAAATTTATGCCAATTGGATCCGGTCAACTTTCACACCAAAATCGTTACTGCGGATGAGACATGGATCCACCACTATGATCCCGAAACAAAACAACAATCAATGCAGTGGCTGACTACTGGTCAAAGTGGCCCAATCAAGGCAAAAGCAACGAAATCTGCAGGGAAGGTTATGGCGACTATTTTTTGGGATGCCAATGGAGTTCTGCATACGGATTACATATCGAAAGGAAGTACAATGAATGCCAATCATTATGTGAAAGTCTTGGAGGAATTACGCTACAACATCAGAAATAAGAGGAGGGGATCCCTGCAAGGTGGACTTTTCCTGCTTCACGACAACGCATCGTCTCATACTGCTAAGATTGTCAAAGCTGCGCTGGATCGATCTGCGTTCTGGAAAATTGATCACCCCCCATATTCTCCCGACCTGGCACCCTGTGACTACTACCTTTTCCCACATATGAAAAAAATTATCAGGGGAAGGAGATTCGAGAGTGATAACGAGCTTATCTCGTGTGTGCATTCTATGCTAAACAGCTTCACTAAAGAATTTTTTTCTGAAGGCATGAAGAAACTGATACAAAGAGCTAAGCGTTGTATTGAATTGGGAGGAGATTATGTTGAAAAGCCGCAAAATGAATTGGAATAAATACCTTTCTTTGACGAGATAAATCATTATTCGCATTATTTAATGGCCTCCCCTCGTACTAACAATGAGGATGGGTGAAGGAGTTGTCGCCGATATCGACCGAGCTAATTTTAAATTGTTCACACTCAGAAATAAGTGGACCCGTATTTCTGAATGTTTACGCCCGTGGTGGAATTTTCAAATCAAATTAAGCGAAAAACCGGATTTTTTAAAACGCTGAAACTTTTCGAATTTTAACCCAATTTCAAAAGTTAAACCCACTTTTTGCTCAGAATTGCATACGTCCCTGAAATTATAAAAATTAATTTTAATTAATTTTTAAATTTGATGTATTAATGCCATGTCTTAATTTTTAAGAAATGCTAAAAATGATACTTTGTTTAATTAAAAGTTTTTGAAAGATGAATTTCTATAATTTCAGGGAAAGTAATTCTGAGCAAAAATTGGGTTTGATTTTACAAATCGGTTAAAAGTTACAACATTTTTAAACTCTGGTTTTTATCTGATTTTTTTAAACTCCACCGTAAACATGTTCATTTAAAATTAGTCCGGTAGAATTATTTCGGTATCAGTTTTGTCAAAAATCAGTTTTGGTCAAGTTATCACGATATTTGTGTCGAGCGGAGCTCAGGACAAGGAATGTGGGAATGAGTTCATGTGAAGCGACGAAAAAAAATTAAGTTCGATGACCTGCACACAGAAAATAATGGATATTTTATTTTTTATGCTCAATTATTAGAGGCCAAAATTATTTGTATCAAAGAACCTTTTAATCCAAGTAAAATGTAAGGGAAGGAGACAGGGAGCCCTTAATTTTTGTAGGAATTCGTCACCTCTAAATATAGCCTTCACTGTTCTGCGCAGTTAGCGGTCTTGTAATAAATGCCTCAAAGTTTGACCCAACGTATTTTTATCCACATTTAACATAATCCACCTTGCACAAGGTTGTCTCGGTTATTTGGCAGCAATTTTGAAATTTCATTGACGTTTTTTTACGTATGTAAATTTGATTCAAAGACGTATCCTGTTAATAAAAGCGCCGAGTGTAAAACTATTGTAAAAATTTTAAACGTAAACCAGCTATAGGTAAGAAATTGGAAATATATTAGTTTGGATACTGTGAAAAAAATCCTTACTGATATTTCTTAACAGTTCGAACTACTTGTGAAGGTTGAAATTTTGATAATTTAAAACATAAATAGGAACTTTTAAAATTATTAAAGGAATAAATACATAGTATCTAACAAAATCTTATTTCTTTACTTTGTTTCAGTGAATTCTACCAGTCCGCATATTCCAAGAAAATCTACAAGTCTAGAAACCATGGCACCAAGACGACTTCTACCGCGAGAGTGTCCTCACTGCTGCAAAATTTTCAAAACGGGATGGCGCTTAAAGCTTCATCTCGTATGTCACGAGACAGATGCGCAGGTTAAGTGTGACGTATGTTGTCCTGTCAAATTACGTATAAAGGTGCTCTGGTGTGAACATTAAAAGAAGAGTACAATTTTTGAGTGATTGTCCACCATCATCCTTCATCAGTGACCTTGGTTTGACCCACGTTTCGCGATTAATTGAGCCTTACCTGTCAGGTGAGAAATGGATCGTAATTTTCTGATCCCCAGAACCAGTCCAAGGTCACTGAGAAGCGGTGAAGATTGAAAAAAACTGACAAATTGCACTCTTCTTTTAATGTTCGCACCATACATAATTCTGAAATATTAACAAAGTAATAACTCCCCCTGTACGTGTTGTTTACAGATTTGTAAGAAAGTCTTAAAAAATCCGGTAGTACTGAAGACCCACGTTCGGGTGAGCCACATCAATCAGGAAAAATATGGGTGTCCAATTTGTCCTCGTGAATTTATGATCGCGGCAAATTTGAAAAGACATGTAGACGCTCTCCACAGCAAGATACCGGAACCACGCTTCCCATGCAAATTTACAGGCTGTCAGAAAACATTTAAGAACAAAGCTTCGGCCTGGTCGCATTTCAACGTGGACCATGCCGTGAATCCTGTCCGATTTCGGTGTAGTCTTTGTAGCAGAGAATTTAAGGCGAAAGGAAACTTAAATCGACACATTGTTTCTCACACGACGGAGAAGGCCTTCAAGTGCGCCACGTGTGAGAAGGGTTATCAGCAAAAGTGCGAGTTAGTGAAACATCAGGTGAGTTGCTACATACATACATACTTTGTAGGTAAATTTATCTATGGTGTGAACATTAAAAGGAAAGGGTACAATTTTTGAGAGCTTTTCAACCATCATCTCTCATCAGTGACCTCGGGGGCGATGGGTTCACTCTTAGAAATTGGGTATTAAAAACATTAGTGCTATTGATATGTGACGCGTTGGTATTAAACGTTTCTACTACCCTAGTATAGATTCGGAAATGAAATAATACTGTGTGGTAATCATTTTATTACTAGTTAGTATTAAATTTTGTACCGGGATTAATTTTTTGAATTTATTACCAAATCATTACCAAGGCGGTAGAGTCACATATCAATACCACGTTTACTCATTTTCTTAAGAGTGTTGTCATAATGTTCGCCGTTAATTGAGCCTGTTAGGTGAGAAATTGATCGTAATTTTCCGATCACCTGAACTCGAACCAGGTCACCGAGGAGGAATAAGGGTTGAAAAGTATGTACTCAAAAATTGTACTCTTCTTTTAATGTTCGCACCATAATGTTGATTTCCTACTAATTTCCAACATCATGCCAGGCCACACATCAAGCGAAGTGGGTCAGACTTTTGCTAAATTGCCCGTCGTGTCCACGCACTTTCTTGGACAAATCCGGTTTGCTAAGACATTTTAAGGATCACCACGTCAATGAGAGGAACTACCCGTGCAGAAAGTGCGGCAAGATACTAAAAACTGGGGATGGTTTGAAAATGCACGTAATGGCGGAACACTCAACAACCCCGGGAAAACTGCAGCATTCCTGCAGTCGGTGCGAATATACAAGTTTCCACAAAAGTGTGGTACGGACCCATGTGAAAAGGGTACATTTCGGCGTTGTGGGAAAGAACGAATGTTATTTTTGTGGGAAAAGATTCTTCGCTTTTTCTCAACTTGTCGCGCACTGCAATTGGAGACACACAATGGACACAAATAGAAAATTTGGCATGTATAAATCTTTAAGCAGTAAATAATTTTTTGATCATATTGTTACCGACGGCGGTGCATTGGATTTGGGGACACGATTAAAAGTGAATACACACTTAATTTAAATATTGATACTTATGTATAAACTATCACCTTGGGTATACTTCGTTTTATTCCTCGTATGTAGTAGGTGAACGATTAGAATTAAATTTATGGAATATTTCAGATGTAAATTATTGTAATTAACATTTGATTAAAATATTTACATTGGTTTATGTACATCAAGTTTTCGAAATTCATAGGAACCTTGCCCATGACTCCGATTACGCACTAATATTAGGTAACCAACATACATACAGGGTGTCTCATTTATCTGTGCAAAGGTTTGAGACAGCCCCGCTCAAAGGCGGGTAGATAAAATTCAAATTTGTTTTCAAAATCGGGTAGAGCAACTTAAAAAATAGTTCTGTGAATTTTTTTGTTAACTCGTTTTCAAAAATGACCCCACTGTGCTCAGTTAAAGTAGAGGTACAGGTGAAAGGCTTTTCCAGTTGAGGTTGCCACGAAAGTGCTATCAAATTGAGCTTAAATTATTATGTCGTAAATTAAATTTGTACTTAATTTATTAAGCAGTGTATGGTAGAGCTGCTAAAAGCCAAGTCTAGAGTCTGGAACAATTAGCACCTTGGAAATCCAATCAATTGCTGAACATAGCAAAAATCAGAAAAATCGGTTGAACAGCTTGACCAACCAGGAAAGTCCTAACTCCATACGCTGCATGGGAAAACTGTTAAAATCCAATAAATCAACTTTCCCGGGACTAATTTAAACTGATTTGCGAAAGATTATAACAAAAATGGCCAAGGTCCAAGCCTTGAAAGTCCACCATATCGAGAATCAGGCGACCAACGCTGAAAAGCAGCATGAGAACCAACCAGAGGGTGTCGTGATGAATTTGTCGTGACAATCGATGAAGAACTCTTCAGGGTGGACGGCCATAATAGGACGAGGTCAATATTCTACACGTGTCCAGCAGAAAAATGCTATTGAAGTGGGCATGGGTCAGAAAAGAAAGTTTGGCAGCCAACCCATGGTCACCTGTGTTCTCAACAATCGTGGACGTCTCCACTTTATGCAAGTACCACCAAATGTCAAATTTAATGCAAACCTGGTCGCTGAGAACTTTTTTCGGCCGTTGGTGGATAACAAAGTTCCAAAATTGTAAAATGGGGAGGGGGACAAAATTTACAATCCCGACGGTAAGGAGTGATCGCACCCTACGATGGAAACTCCGCAGTATGCAAAAATCGCACAAGATAATTTTGATCCTGATGCAATTAAAAATCAAGTCAGACCTAGTGTGTCATCCGACATTGGCCGTTTGGAATTTTTCCGATTTTCCTTCCTGGAACAACAACTTTTACCCTGGCGAGTTACGAATCTGGATGGACTCTGGAACGCTTAAAATGATGAGTGAAAGAAATTCACCCCAGAAAAGTTACAAGGAGTTTTTTCAACGGAAAAAAGTGATGCATTCTTGTATTTAAGAACAAGGGCCATCATTTCGAGCAAGTTTCGAATCAAAAATAGATTATGTTGTATGTTAGAAAAATGGTCAAACTTTTGTTCAGATAAATGGGACACCCTCTGTATTTCGATACATACAAGTCAGTTTTTTATAACATTTTCAGATATAGGATTTGGTTTACCTAGAAATTTCATAATAATTAAATTGATAACGGCCTGTTATGCTCTTCGTTGTGGTGACAAATGCATACATATATTTCATCTAAATATGTACATATTATATTTCATATTTCATATATATACATATCAGCTTAACAGTTTTAAATATGCATACAATGATGACCTTAATTTTGACCTGCGAGGTCATACAAGATCTAAAACTATCAAACACCCGTCAAGCGTGTCAATTGAACAGACTTGTAACGCTGAACACGATTTTGATGTTCATTTTGAAGAATGATACACGACTTTCACCCCTTGGTTACCTTCGTTTGTAACGGTTTATTCATAATTTAGTCACTTTTGGAAAAATATGTCAGTTTTCATGTCGAACTCAATTTATTTAAGCCTTCTCAATACACCTGAACATAGTCATCTAGTGGGCAAGTTGAGATTTGCCAACACAAAATCATTGCACCTAAAATGTACATGTGTACATTTTTCACAAAAATTCAAAAATTGAAGCCATTCCTTGGTCGATTGACCTGTTCTTAGTGGCGTTGAATTCCTACATTCGTGTCCCAGGGTTTAAAAGATTTCCACTTTTTGGAAAAGGTGACAACTTTTAATACAATAACGATAATTATATATTTTATTTTATTTCACGTTCATGTGACCTTTTCCAAAAAGTGTAAATCTTTTAAACCCTGGGACACGAATCTAGGAATCCAACGCTACTACGAACAGGTCAATCGAACAAGTAATGGCTTCAATTTTTGAATTTTTGTGAAAATTTCATTCTATTATCGTTGCATAATCTTTTCATCATGCCCCGGAGATGGTAAATTTGGTGGAAACAGGAGAGCAAATGCGACAAAACATATGTTTTTCAACAACAAACGTGTGTTCGCCAGCAGTGGTGGTGGTGGTGAGGTTCACTCGGGGAGAAAAATTGAACTCCTCCGCCACTCCCACCACCACATCTCCCCGAAGATGGGGTCATGAGAGAAAAATGCAGAAAGTACACCAGAATGAGACAAGTTGTCACCTCTCTCGTCTCAAATGGTGTATTTGTGCTGTATTGAGAAGGCTTAATGATATAATAACCAACTTTATATTATTAGATGTGGGCAAAAACCATCATCTCCACAGCTGTAATCCTCTCTGTCGGCGTGTCGCCATCTGATGGGCGACGGTTCTATCACCACGAATCTTTGTCAGTCTGGACGGGAATAGATTCAATTATACGGTTAAGCCATACTTGACCGTGAAACAATGCGGAAAGAACGACCCGTATCAACAATGGAACTGGTTCCCAAACTCTACCGATCAAAGCCAAGCTTCAAAATTGTGCATTTCCGGCGTACAAGGGAAACCGTGAAAACTGAATATGGAGCCGTGCCAAGATGTCCTTCATCAAAAATGGGAAGCCATAAAAATGGATAAATTATAATTTCTCGTTAATTTTATCGTTAATTTAAGACCAAAGGTCCACAACGTTGGTCTGAAAATAGCAAAAAGAGTGATCGAATTTTATAAAAGTAAGGATAGGATCCTGTGCTAACTGTGGCGGGGAAATTCCTATTTATAATATCAATTGGAATAGGTTGATGTATATCTTATATCCACCTGTACCTCCAGTTTGGTAGGGTAAATGTTCCTTATCTTCACAAATCCAGCTTAACCGTCATGTCCAATTAGATTAATTTGCCACCAGCTTTACTATGCATTGTGTCAGGTATGGAACCATTCGCTACTTAATAAATTACAAATCACATACAATGACGTGCCGCATTTGTTGTTTGTCACAGGACCTGAAATTCAGGCTCGGGATTAGTCTGGATACAATTGGAGTGGGCGGCCGTCCTAGGAATTAAATTTTAAAAGCAAAGCCAGGGCGTCGAATTATTTTGATTACATATCATTCCGCAGTGACAATCAAAATTTTATTGCCGCGTTGTAAACGAGTCTGCTTGTAATACTAACGACGGGAATTAAGGTTGACTCGAATTATTCTTAGAAAAATATCGGCGTATCCATAATTAATTGGAACAAATTGTGCCCCATTAAAGTCTCAAATGCTTGTAATTCTACGCATAAATAATAAAAAATAAATTGTAGATAATTTTAAATATATTTCCTCTTATTAACTAGGGGAACTTCGGCGGTGCCTGTCGAATCCTTAGTTCCCATATATTCCAAAATGAGCACAACATAAGAGTTGTAACCCAAACCGAAGGAATTTACTTGCAAAAATCACTACTCGTCCAGTCGTGACGATACTTGTGACTAGCGTAGGACAGTGGGGGGAAGAGAGGAAGTGAGCGAATATGCCCCTATTTGCGATTTGTGACGGTCAACTAACTCTCCATCGCTTCATTGTCACTCGCTCACTCACTTCCTCTCTTCGCCCCCACTATCCTACACTTGTCCCAAGTATCGTCACAACTTGTCGAGTAGTGAGTTAATTCCTTCCGTTTGGGTCACAACTCTTATGTTGTGCTCATTTTGGAATATGTGGGAACCCTGGATTCGACGGGCACCGCCAAGGTTTCCCTAGTTAATAAGAAGATATATATTTAAAATTATCTACAATTTATTTTTTATTATTTATACATAGAATTACAAGTACTTGAGACTTTAATGGGGCACAATTTGCTCCAATTAGTAATGGGTACGCCGATATTTTTCTAAGAATAATTCGAGTCAACCTTAATTCCCGTCGTTAGTATTACAAGCAGACTCGTTTACAACGCGGCAATAAAATTTTGATTGTCACTGCGGAATGATATGTAATCAAAATAATTCGACGCCCTGGCTTTGCTTTTAAAATTTAATTCCTAGGACGGCCGCCCACTCCAATTGTATCCAGACTAATCCCGAGCCTGAATTTCAGGTCCTGTGACAAACAACAAATGCGGCACGTCATTGTATGTGATTTGTAATTTATTAAGTAGCGAATGGTTCCATGCCTGACACAATGCATAGTAAAGCTGGTGGCAAATTAATCTAATTGGACATGACGGTTAGGCTGGATTTGCTAAGATAAGGAACATTTACCCAACCAAACTGGAGGTACAGGTGGATATAAATAGGAATTTCCCCGCTACAGTTAGTACAGAACGAGTTCTACAGAGCAGTCAACATAAACATAATTCGTACAGTATAAAGAATTGGAAAATCAAAGTCAGCGCATTGGTGGGGGTATTTTGTCTGGCATTCATACCCGGGTGTGTGTTAGGCTATGAGGGTTCCATTTGTAAGTTAAACTTTTAAGGTCATAGTGTCCTTAAACAACAAGTATAACAAAACGTATCCATGTTTTGCCAACAGACAGCTATGGGGATCCCAGGGATGATATCCATGATATCCACAAAATTGGAGGAAAGGTATGGAAACCGTTATTCACCCGCTATTTAAATATCGTATTCTTAAAAAGTGCGACCAAGTAAATCTTCTCAGAAACACGTTTTTCATACGTACAAATATTGTTAGTTTACTTACTACCAAGGTGTTAATCTATGCCATTTTTTTGAAAAATTTCTTCGTTATCAAAACTATATTAGAGTAAACTTTTTATTTCAAAATTTTATTTCAAAATTTCAGCAATTCAAGAGCACGCTTAAATTAAGCGGCTTAATAAGGGGTTTATGCCGGTTATCTTTCACAGCCCCCGACAGTTAATTTTCATTTGGTCACCGACACAGGGTGATCAAATGAAACATTATATATACATTAAATTCCACTAAATATACTCGTGTTAAGATTTTTTAATCACTTATTATTATAATCAGGCGGCTTCAGTACCAACCTGGCCAAACAATGTCATTCCCTACGAAATCAGCCCAGACTTTGACTATTTAGACTTGACCGCCATAGACATTGCCATTCAGGATTACCATGCCAAAACTTGCATCACCTGGAAACGCCGTACCACGGAATCCGACTACGTTCAATTTTTCCGAAATGTATCCTGACTAGGATGCGCATACTCGCAGATAGTAGGATTCCGTAATGGGGAGAGTCTCATGGTTTTTGAAAATTGCCGCGGCAACAATACTTTTATCCATGAAATGGGTCATGTCGCTGGACTAGGTCACACACACGAGCGTTCCGATCGGGATGAGTTTGTCTACGCTCCAGGAACAAATTGTGGTGGCCTTGGAGGCAAGTCGGACTACGCACCTTACCTCCGTCTCTACGACTATTTAAGCGTGATGCACTACCAATGTCACGAATGCTTATCCCCCAAGTTACCCGGTGTCCCATATTGCGGTCAATATTTTGAAGGGGGGAGATTGAGTGTTTTGGACGCCGAGATCCTGAATGACTTATACCAGTGCACAGGTAAGTTTGAGAGTAAAATAATTATTAAACCTTTAAGTCGCAGCTGAGGCAATTGTCGTTTTGTAAAAAAATGGTATAATTCGGGAGTAAGACAAAAGCCGTCCTGACAAATTGTAACACAATTTTCGTTTCTAGAAGGTCACTGATTTTCACAATTTTCTCTCCGCGGAGTAAAATCTTTTGGAGTTTGAGGGATTTCTCCTATGCCAACTAAATGTTAAATTTTGTCATTTTCGTGACAAAATTTCTTTTTCTTTTTCCGAAAATTTGGATATTTACCTATCTAACTCAATGTTAAATTTGGGATTTTTCATTTTTTTCGAGTTTTATTAAAAATCTTGAATTTCTCCTCCTACTCAATGATCACAACATACTTCTAACGTCCCCGAATTAATACATACATGTTCTTGTGCTCAATGACACTCGTTAAAGGGTTAAAACAGTAATTTGGTAAAAAATTATGATTTCAGATTCTGGGCATTCCCATCGTTTCCGGGTACCATCACGACTAGACCAGTCCACAGCTTTTCAGTTTCCCGTCACGCCAAACTCCGGGACAAACGCCATCTGTCGGGGATACGTTAATGGACACATCCTCGTTGGGCAAGCTCTAAGGACGCTTGAAAGCTGTTGGTTACCTAATGCGGACACTGGCGGAGAGCAAGGAATGTCCGCGGTTGGGTATGAAATATTGGAAAATTACCCAAAAGCTAGGTGGGTCATTCCCACTGTGGACAACAATGGTAACCCATCACCCTATCTTGTTGCTGGAGGTCGTACGAGTACCCATGAAACGGTGTATGTTGGATTATGCCGTAATCTTGTGGTTGATGGAGGAACTTCGGTGGGTCAAAGGGTTGGATCAGTTTTTGCCAGCAATCTTAATGAGGTTGTGGTTTCCTATGGGGGTAAAGTGTACAGGTGTGCATACCCCCCAAATCCTTTATGATTACTAATATGGTGTGAACATTAAAAGGAGAGTACTTTTTAAAACGCAAAGCTTACATATGGCGGGGGGTACTCGCCTTTTAAAAATCACATCATAGTAGGTTTGTGGAAAACCAGAGTACTTAAATGAGGCACCTTAATATGTAAATAAAATTATTAATTCTGTAGATTGTTCCGATTAATAAATGTATTCAAACCTTAGCACAAATTTATCCCTTATTCAACTGCTAAGATATATCAGAAAATAGGCAGGCTTACGAACAAAGAACATGGAAAACACATCAATTAAAATAATAAATTCTCGATCTCATTTTAGTAGGTCACAAAATCTTATAACATAGTTAACATGCATATTATTTTATCACATGATGTCTTCCCTTAATGCAATTTTGCACTTCATGTTATTTTATTTATCTAACAATGAGAAGGTGTAAGGTGGTTATCACCAATCTTGACTGTACTATTTTGGAATTTTTCGCACTCCAAAATTAGGGTAGCCGTATTTTCTCGTTTTCCTGAATGGGCATGTTCTCGCCTGTGGCGGAATTTAAAAAAATTCAGCTAAAATCAGGATTTTTAAAAATGCAGTAACTTTTCGAATTTTAACCCGATTTCAAAAATTAAACGCAATTTTTGTTCAGAATTACTTCCCTGAAATTCATACAAAGGAGTTCAACTTTCGTCTGCCATGGAATTGTTCGCAAATTTTATTGTTTCAATTTTATTCAAATTTTTTGGATTTTCCTAGAAACGGGGGGTGTGTCGATTTTTTTAAAAAAACATCTCAAACAATAACAATGTTTAATTTCTTATTCTTTCTTAAAATTTTGATCTTTGTGATCATTTTAAGCCCAAAATTTTGAAAATCCCACAGAACCTGCAAAATTTATGGAGGTTCGAAATTGGTTGAAAATGCAGATTTGGCGCAACGCCACGGCGCCAAATATGAGTTTTACACCGAAATACGAATGAATCCTTCATCTAGGGTCGGAAAATCTTTTCGGCGAACACCAACGTCACCAATTATAACGCTTATGAGTACGATTACAAGCATTTATGGCCAAATTTACTCGGTTTTATTTAGAGTCATCCTCAATCTCAGCACAGCTGCTGATATTAATCCTGTGCAAGGCAGAAAAAACTTTTCTAAAATAGTGAAATATGACATGATATTAAAGCATAAAATAATTTGACGCTCTTTCTTTGGCATTTGACCTTTCTGGCGTAGGCCGGCGGTCCACTCCAATTATATCCAGGACATGGATTCCAGGTATTACGATATCAAAACAAAATCCGGCAACTGATACTATGAAGTTTTTTATTGAGTCCAATAAAAGATTACCCGACACTAAACACCAGCAAAGCAGCCGCCAAATAAATTGGACATGACGGAAAAGCTGGATTCATGAAGGTAATGAAAATTCACAAAACCAAACTGGAGGTGACTTGAATATAAATAGGAGTTTACGGTTACAACAGAATCTGTTCAATACTGCAACAGTCAACATATAATTTATTCGGTTCAAATCAATTCGAATATGAAAGTCCGACCGTTCGTGGGTGTATTTGTCCTGATATTCATGCACGACTGCGGGGCAGCCCTTGGTGCTTCAATTGGTAAACCCGTCGGGGATAGTGGTGGTAAAAACATTTGTTAGGTTTATGGTTGAATTTTTAAAAGAAGAACTATCGTACTAAAAAAACAACCAGTACCTGGTTATTGACCTCGTTGGGCGATCGAGTGACGTAAAATTCACGACTAATTGAGCCTTATCTGTAAGATTAGGAATTAATGCCGATTTTACGGGCAATTTAACCCGACCAAGGTCACTGTGGACGGATGGTGGTTGACAAGTTTTCAAAAATGAGTACCTTCTTTCAAAAATTCAACAATAATGTATGACTGCACTATACAATTTGCTGAAAATCCTTCCAGTCAGTATTTTGTGTATGCATTTTAACATAAACCGTCTTAAAACTCTGCGAATACACTGCTTTCCTTACGATATTAGATAAAAGAATAAAAAATCCAGTTTTTTTAAATAATGCATAAATGTTTATATCTACTAGGTTACATTTATTTACTTACTTAAGACACTTTAAGGCAAATTTGCCGCTTTTACGTAAATGTAAACTTTGAAATATCCAGTTCAAGAGCAAATGTTGGGTACACCCACATATTTAGTGCTCACGGCAAATTAGGAGTTTAGGTAGACAACACATAGAAAATTAACACCCAAAGTTGCGGAAATATTTAGTACTGACAAAGACATTTTGTCAACTAACAAAAAAACGTGTTAATAAAGTAAATATGTGTAGGTGTTAAAAAAATAATATATTAAAAACCTACATATATGCAACTGTATATGTAAATAGTTTGAATAAGTTGATGTTGGTGGATTGATGCTGAAGAGAAATTTATGAGTTTTTATAAAGTTAAGTTTTCATAATGGTGAATATTATTTGTGCTGATTTTTAGCAGATGATTTACTTGGTTTAGCTGTAGGAATGTATTTATACAACTGGGCACAGAGAGCTTAATTTAAGACAAACATTACAACTAACAAGTTATTTCGAGTGTTGGAATTATACTTATAATGAATCTGAATACTTATATTAAAACTTATTAATTGGGTGTATGCAGTTACCATGATTCACAAGTTACGAATTATGTCTTCAGCACTTTATAATGCTCTTCTCCAAGTATTTTGCAGCAGCAAATACACTGCTTCACACCCCTCAATTATCCTCCTCCCGACAATTTTCCGCCCTTCACCCAACCAGTATAGTAGCCCCACACCCACCCCGACCCCAAACACGATGAAACATATCTTCAAATTATGCACCTTCACGGGGGCAAAGTGCGCACTGAATTGATTCTCCGCAATCAAGTCCTTCCCGCTCATCACCAAAATCCCGTAATAATTCAACCCCCGACTATTTTCTAGTTTATCGTTCGCCTTCAAAACTTCAATGGTGCGATGCACGTCCATATTTCTCAACCAATTTGAATAAATCCCGCTCTCCCACAACCTCGCTAACCCATTCTTTATCATCCCTGCATACTCAACATTATTCATATACCAAGGAACTCGCCTCGACAAGGAGTTAATCCTCCCAACTATTTTCTTCTCTTGAATAACATAATCCGTGTTTCGGCTGATCAAGAATTTCATCCTTTTTGAACCCGTCTCGTCGTCTAGGGCGGCAAACGTGGCAGGAATTTGGACCAGCCCGCGATCCGTAGAGCCAGGTTTGTTCCGACTAATATTGGCCACAACGGGCCCCACTTCGCCCGTTAACAGGATCATACTCGAATTTAGGCGGGTGTAGAACTCGGCAAGAGGATCCTCCCCATCGGCCAGGTCTGGCAATATGTCCTCCTTCAGGGTGGACAATACCATCACGTTGAACAATTTCCCCACGTAGGCTTTATACCAGGAATTCGTGGTAACCATGATGCCCGACCTGTCCAGCGCTTCCAACGTGTCCGGCGTGCTCGGGGGAGTTTCCATAACAAAGTAGGAAAGCAGATCGCCCTTATAACACGTCGAGATTATTGACAAGGTCACCGTCCACGTCGTTATTAGGATAGTGACCTTATCCAGGACCACCTTACCCCCCTCAGGGGAATGCTGAGACTGATCTAGCATCACAGAAAATACTTTGAACAGAGCGCCCCCAATACCTTCTCGCTTTTCGGAAAAGCCTAAAATACAGACAAACATGAGCAGAAACCCGATCCCAAGTCCGACCCAAATCCAGGTATCCAGTGGTTCCAGCAGCTTCACGAAATCTAGACTCCCACCCTGCCCGGTGTACAGGACCAGGGTAAATTCCAAATAATGTGTCGCGTAGTTTAGCAGCTGCATCTTCCTCACACTCCTGGCGGGAAATCTTCCTTTGTAAAACGCTTTTCCTATCCATTCGGCAACACTTGCATGTGCAAAGGAACGCTCACCCTTATACTGCATGGTTAATGAATAGTTGTAGTGGGTGCTTAACACGTATGCAGTGCAGGTCGAGAAACGCGTGGCTAATCCCCAATAACGGGTTGAGCAAGAGAGTAATTCTTCTCTACCGGCTGAAGGGGGACTACCGCCAACGTGTGAAATCCAACCGAACGACTTCTCCATGGGGGGAATCAGCCTGAGAGAATCGCGACTACTTTGATGATCCATCGTGAGTGGAATCGGGTCTCGGACGGAGAGGCAAATTCTGAAAAAGGTTTTGTGAAATTGATACCAGAGCAGGATGGTTGACGAGACGTAGTACGAATGCGATCGAAGCGTGGGGAGTAAGTGGGATCCAGGAAAGCGGGAATAGAGTAGGATGAAGTGGGGGTCCAAATTTGAGTGGGCTAGACCATAGAGGGCATAAATCAGGTGAGGATACCATTGAAGGGCATAGTTGTCCAGGAGGAAAATAATGCACGGGGAGGACCGCTGTGCCGACATCCATAGCCAGCTCAGCCGAGAAGTGTCCCTATAATTGCGGAATCGGTGCCATGTCCCGTTTAGTTTGTCGAGTACGAAAGATATCCCGGTTCTGAAATCGCCGGGAAAATAATCCTTTTTGTAATCGGATAAGATGTTGATAACACAGCCGTCAAACACTTTGTGGTTCATGATGCTAAATATTTCAAGACCTAGGGTTTGACCAGTTAGTTGTAGGAGAAGGTACAAGGTATGGAGTGTGAAATTCATTTGTAATTTTTGTAAATAGACGGAAAATGCAATTGTGTAAGGATGTATTATTTTTTAGGAAATTTAGGGATCAGGTTTCCAGAAAGCATTTACAAATCGTGGCAACAGGAATGAGGTAATAAAAGTACGACCTATGCAAGCGAGCGCTACACAATCGAGGAGGTTTATGTAGATACCCAATGTTTAAATTTTCTACAACCCGTGTCAAAGAATTTCAAAGTTTTCCAAGAAAATTACCACACTTTATAACCCTAATGGGCTTAATAACAGGAAGGTGGGTAAAAAAATATCTCCACGTGCAATTTTGTCGCTCATATTTATCTTGAATTACTTTGTTTACAAAATTGTGAAAGTTTTTCATATTAAACTTCATATAAAAAATTATTGGATGACGTACATACATTTGTACACTCTATGCCTAAATAATTTAGGCATTCCTATTCTTTCAGAGTGATTCTTGAATTGATTACTTTTCATTTCTTCAGTTTATTGAAA